GTACTGTCAAGCCTGTCTCCGGGTCTTCCATTCCATCGACCGCGTCAAGCATCATCTCCGCACGTCTCACCGATGCCTTTGGAGACTTGCATACCTCATGCCGCCGGCCACACCTGCGCAAGTCAGAGACTTGGAAAAGGCAGACAGAAAAACTCGTCGCAAAGTGGCAGCAGGTCACTGGCAGTGGCACGCCCCGACTGAGCCTTGGACGCAAGCCCTTGGGCCGAGGCGACCGACTTATGAGGAAGTGGTCCTCTCAGCAGGTGAGGACATCACCCTCCAACAGATGCAGCGACGGTATCAACCGTCGACGACAATTCTACTGTGGGTAGGGCAATATGTCCATGCAGGGGAAGGCGAACCGAGACAGCTTCCGCCTGCGCTCTCGCTGTGGAGAGTGCCCCCTCTTCGTGCAGTCCCCTAACGCTCTGCTCTCCGCCCATTCCCACGACTTATCGTCGCTGCTTGTTTCATCTTAGAATTCAGCATGATTTTTGGGCAACGTCCCGTAGTTGGACTTTGACTGCCAAACAGAAACAGAAACAGAAACATGTATGCATGCATGCATGTACGTACGTATGTATGCATGCATGTATGTATGTACGTATGTATGTATGTATGTTTGTATGTTTGTATGTTTGTATGTACGTCTGGTTTATCTTGGCCCGCACCAAAAATCTAGCTAAAGGTTCAACCGGGCACTTTGGGGGGAGGGGTGGGGGGCCGAGGCAGCTCATGTCCAGCCTGCGGAAAGTCCTGCAGGAGCCCAGGGAGTAAAGGGGTCGAGGGTTGAGGGTCTAGGGTTCAGGGAGCTTTTGGTGCTGGGGGCGGGGCGGAGGCATCGATTTAGCGGGGGGGATTTAGCGGGGGGGGGGCCGGGGGGGGGGGGGTGGGGTGGGTTCGTTTTTAAGACCGGGAGGAATGTATCCAAGAATGGGTGTTGTTTGCGTTTGAGGCTTGGGTTTTTGTGGTTTCTGCTGCTTTTTAGCTGGCCTCCTGCGTAGCTGATAACTTCATAATGACCTTAAACCCGAAATTCAAGCCAGTGAAGAATAACCCGAGCACCCTCCACCCTTCGGGTTTGGGCTGCTGGACCCTGGAAGCCAGGACCACGCGGCGGCCGGCGACGAGAAGCCTGCCGCACTGACGAACGGCAGCTGGCATCTGAAATCCCGAGTGACAAAGTGGTACCTGTAAGGCTGGAAGGGGGTTCTGGTCATTCTGTTTTATGAGGCCCAGTCTCAATCAAAGTTAAGGGTTTGGCAGGAGGCAAAAGAGTAAACCCTAAGCCCTTACACCCCAATTAAGGCACAACAGCGGCCAAATTCACACCCAAGCCGCGGACCAGCGGCGCGGTGGAGGAACAGAATGGCTTCGACGTCAACCAGGACTGGCACCGGGCGGGTGCGGGAGCAGTGGGCGATATTTGAATATACATATAAGAGAGGAATCGTGAATGTATGTAATGTGGGCAAGGCATGCATGCGTGTGTGTTTGTGTGGTGCTTGTTGGTGGTGTCGGTGGCTCTGGTGGATACGGAGGCGAAGGCGGTGGTGGCGATGGTAGTGGTGGTGGTGATGGTGATAGTGCTGGTGATGGTGATGGTGATGGTGATAGTACTGATGGTGGTGATGTGATTGATGAGGGCGACATCCATCATGGCTTCACGTTGACTTCATGGGCAGTCTTCAGTGTTCGCTACGGGGTTTGCCGCAGGACTTCACGCAGGTCCATGATTTTGATGGCATGGCCCTGGCTGCCCGTTGTTTGGTCCGCCTCTGCGAGAATGGCAACCTCACAGTGGCTGCCGAACTGATCCAGGCAGGCGAGAACGGGATGGTTTCCAGCCCCCTTGCTCGGTTTTTCCATGTCTTAGGCAGGGGCTTCAACACGAAGATTGGGGTCCAGGGTGCAAAGCTGCTGGGCCAGGCCAAGGCGGATGTGAACATGCCCGAGCCAGATATTGGGGTCACGCCTTTGATAGCGGCTCCTTGGCTGGTGGCTTTCTTGCTTTTTTGCTTTTCGCACCTGTCCGGCAAAAAAGCTAAGTGAGCAGCTAGCATACTCAGTGACGGGTGGGCTCAAGGCCTGCCAAGAAATCTGAGACCTCGACAGCTCAGGCTGCCAATGCTGGCCACCTTGACATCTGCAAGTACCTCTTCAGAAAAAATGCAGAAGTTAGCTCAGAAGTACGAGATGGAACTGGAAGAACGGCTCTCCATGCAGCTGCTCAGATGGGCTTTGCCTCGGTGGTGCAGCTACTTGTTGTGGCACTGGCCCTCCCAGTTTTGGAGCTATCAGGGTTTACAGTTTGGCCGTCCAAGCCAGTATAAACTGCCTGACCGATTGCTGTTTTTTTCAGGGTTTCTGGGAAAATTTCCGGGCACGTAAGCGTGATGGACTGCAGTCTCCGCTACAAGCCGTCACAGGCAATTCTGGCTGAATGATGCCTTCAGAGTCTGAGGCTCTTGCTGGAGAAGAATGCCGACGCCCGCGTGGAGGACCTGTGGCCTGAGGTGCATCCTAAACACTTCTTATCTCCACTTCCCTGAGGGGCCATGGGCTGTACACAAACACGGCTTGCATTTGTCCAGGCGGGAGTCGGAACAATATCAGGGGCCCCTGATCATCGTAAACTCCCATGTGTAGAGTGCCCAGACTCCTGAGAACTTTAAGTTGGGCGGTTGAACAGTATCTGGTGGGCGCGAGAGAGTGGCAGTGACAGCGACAGTGTGAGAGAGTGAGGGGGACCCACTGGGAGGAGCAATGCAATGTGGGACCAGGACTTTCAAGTCCTGAAAGCCCAGCCACCACGACACCCAAAACGGGGGGTCACTTTCACACGTGACAGACAGAGCAGCGTGCCGCCGCGGCCGGGGCCTCTCCCCAAGGGCGGCCCCTTCGCTGGGTAGAAGTAGAAGAAGGAGAAGAAGAAAAAGAAGAAGAGGAAGAAGAAGAAGAAGAATAAGAAGAAGAAGAAGTAGAAGAGATATATGCACATATATATGTAACTGCATGCATGCGTCTCTCTCTACGTCTATTCATCCATGTGTTCAAAGCCCAAGTCAGCTCGGAGGACCTCACAAAAACCAACCCACTGCACCTCGCGGTGCGAAACGGCCATGCGGGGGCAGCAGAGCTGCTCCTCAAAGGCACCCTGACCTGACGAGAATTTCGGGTTGGTTGTTTCTCGTCAAGAAGGCGAGGATAGGCAGGCGTCTGGCAGTCAGCAAGTCCAGCTTCAAATGAAGCAGCTTCCAGGTTTAAAAAGGGCTATTCAGGGTTTAGAGTTGGGTCCGAAGAGCTAAACGCCCCTAGAGGCCTTTAAGCTCTGAACCTCAGAGCCCATCAAAGTCTGCTCTACAAACTTCTCGCTCCATAAGCCCCAAACTTTTGAGAACAGAAGGTCCACATCTTAACTCTATTGAGCATTGAATGCTGATGAATTTGGGGAAAGGGCTGAAGCAACCTTGCCTGAAAGAAAGGAATGTCGCCAGTCTTCATAGCGCGGGAGACCCCACAATCCTCACCACATGGGCGCATGAGTTGGAAAGGGAATTTGCCCACGCGAGCGTTCACTCGAAACAGAGGGCCCTTGTACGATGATAGACCTGCTTCCAGATTCCCATGAACCCGAGGGGACATTGCGAATCCTGTGTCAAGGCAAGGCAAATCCCAACAGCTCCGACGACCAGGGCCATGTGGCCATCAACGATGCCGTGGCCAAGGCATGGGACAATGCCTGGCGGTTCAGCTGTGCCTTTAGAGTTAGGATCCCTTCTGTTAAGCCCCTTTTACAACCAAAGAAGGCCACCCCTTTGCTACCTAGATTCCTGGGCAAGCGAGCAAGGTTTTTGCAGCTGGCACGGTAGGGTTGGGATCTCGGGTTGGGGTTCATAGCAGGTGGAGTCTGCCTGTCTCTGCCAATTGGCGCATGATGCAGCAAGTCGGTAAAAGCCACTGGATGAATTGCCCAGCTTTTTAGATAGGAGGCCACATTGGTTCCACCATGCAACTGGCCCTGCCCGGAGGCGTCTGTTTGTCGATCTTGCCATTCGCAGCCCTGTATATCTAAAGCTGAGACCCACAGCCATATCTTACGCTTGAGACCAGTTGCCGTGGCATAGATATGAGGGCTCAGACTTCGGTGGCTGTCATGTGTTTCTCGCGAAGGAAGTCGTTAGCTCGGTCACCCGGCCCCTACTCTTCAGTGACAGCAGTGATGTTTGTGACGGCGTCAGAGCTGGATGGTCACAAGTGCCATCTCACTCTGGTGGTATATTTGGAGCCCGATCCTAGATAAATTGAGGTTGAGGCTGTGGGGAGCCAACCTGCAACCCTGGACCTGACACCATTTGCGGTCAGGATCGCTTCGACCTTGTCACGAAGCTCTTGGAGTTCGGGGCCTTGGCATCTTGGCCACAGAAAAACAAATAAGAAGATCCGGGTCTCGGGGATGCTCAGGGTCCTAGTTGGTGATTCCGGGTGTCCATGGAAATGCCGTTCGGTATGCAAACCCTGAACTTCGTGGTCTGGTGAGTCTAGTGTGTGGCCCGGCGATCGCTGAAGTTCTTGGTAACATCCCTGAGCCCCCTTGCCCCTTGCTGCTGGATCTTGCGGCCCAGGTCAACGTGCGGAACATGGCCGGGTTGGAAGCCATCTCCTTCTCGCGGACTCCGCAGATGCAGTCGATCATCATGAAGCACGACGTGAACTTTTAAGATGACGTCGCCATTCATGTCCGAAGACGGCTGCAGTGTAGCGTAGGGAGCAAAACAGGAGACCATGCCAGAGCTGGGGAAATCCTAAATGTCAGGCCCCGGGCCCTGTTGAGCCCATGAACTTGCTGCCATTTCATGCCATTTCTTAATCAGTCTTAGTGACGATTCGGCCGGAAGTTGTCGGGTAGGACTACGAAGCTCCAAGCTCATGGCGCAATTCGAGGAGTCTCTATACAGCTGTGCCTAGAAGGCCCCCGTAGAGACCATCTAGACTACGAGGCCGCAGCACGCGCGGACCTGGCGCGGCAGCCGGGCACCCAGATCTTCATAGGCTGGAGGGATATATGAGGATGGTGGAAGGGCTTGAGTGTTTAGGATCACGATGGGTTGATGGGTATATGAGGATTTGTGGGGTCAGTGGAAAGCGATTCTGGGCAGGGCTGCCGCGACTAACTGTGCACACCCTGAAACTCGAAGTTTTTTTAACTTGAACCCTATAAACCCCAAAGGTGTATAGAAGACCCTTCCCGAACGCTCGTGGGCTCAAGCCTCGACCCGGTCCTGTTTCCCGTTTCCTACACGCTGTCCTTCACCATGGACGTGGACTACGATGACTCCCAGCTGCATTGCATTGCATTGCATTGCATTATGTGAGTCCTGGGCCCAAAGTTTGTGGAGAGCCCCAAGTATCTCTGATCTTCAGGAACTTCAGGTATGGTAGGGTACGAGCACTTTCCAGATGCACATAAGCATGAGAACCGAAACAGCACTGTAACGCCCCTCCTCCTCCCCCGCACCTGTCAGAAAGCAGAAAAGCTGCCATCTTAAGCCAAGGACGAGGTTGCCGAGGAGGGTGCCCGCCCAGCCGGCCGACGGATGAAGGGCCGTGGCGGTGAGGAGTCAGGGAGTTCAGCCTTTCGGATTCAGGTTCGGGGACCTGCGAACTTCGGAGAGGGACTCTGAGAGGTAAGGGATCCTACGAAGCCGGGCTGCAGCTCAAGGAGGATTGGCGAACAGGGTTTGCAGGGGAGATTTTGGGGTTTGGGGTTTTGGCAACGAGAACTGCAGCGCATTGGCTTTAGAGTTTAGGGTTCGTTCAAAAGGAGGGAATGCATAGGAACCCTGCGCAGGAGGACGATCGGTATGCGGGCAAGGCCGGAAAGTTCGAGAGGCTCGACGACGACGATGACGAGACGGGGGCCGCGCGTTCCATCGAGGGCTGGGTTGTTATTGTGCCTTGGCGGATCCTGCAGATCCCCGTAGGCCGAGCTTGCTTCCGGCTTATGCGGAGACCCCTTGAGCGCATTGCAGCACACCTTGGTCACTGTTGCCACCCTATTGGTCTTCACCGAGGTGTCTGGCGTCCACGAGGAGGCACAGGAAGACGACATCTTCGAGGCCTTTTCGGAATACGGAGACATCAAGAAGCTTGGCGCGGCAAAAGCAAGTCGTTTTCAGAGGGAGCGGTGCTTTGCAAGATGTCCGGAGCAAGCTGGAGCAGAGCAATGACTGTTTACTTGTCTTCGAGCTATCGCCATGAACACACAAAGTCATATATATATATATATATATGTATGTATGTATGTATGTATGTATGTATGTATATGTATATATATATATATATATATATATCTATATACATATATATGTATATATATATATATAATTTTCTGCAACACCCTTGAACTTGGGGATCTGCACTCTTGCAGAATGCCCCTCTTCAGGCAATAGCACATCATAATACATTACACCACGCTATGATGTTGCATTCTATAGGCCCATTTCTCCGAAAACTACACAACTCCAAGTTGACTGCTGACAACCCGGATCTGGAGCATTGCAAGGGCAGCGGTAGTTTGCCGTAAGTTGCGAAGCACAGCTACCGGCATGGTGCGAGATATAGATATAGATGCGAGAAACAGGGGGACAGAGACAGGGAGAGAGATGTGCTGGCTCTTGTGTTATTCAGCCGATTCCAGGAACTTGCACCTCAACTTGGATCGCCGCACAGGTGCGATGAAGCTCATGATCTGTGTTTCAGGGCGGGGAGCTTTGAGTTGAAAGAGAGGCTTCGGGGTTCAGGGGGGCATTAGGTCAGCCTCTGGTTGCCACCCTGGATCCGGAATGGGCTGATGGAGCACCTCCCTAAAATCCCCGAAGCGGAAGCCGTACCAGGCTTCGTGAAGGGCTATGCTTTCATCGAGTATGAGAATAAGCAGGAAGCGGATGCGGCCGTCAAGGACCGCCTTTCTGCCTTATAGCTTACAACTCTTTGGGCTTCTTTGTGCTTGGGGGCACCCCAAGCGGAGATATATCGCGAGGCTCCCTTACGTTCTCTTGTCTGATGCAAGGCACATTAGTTGAAGTCTCTTGAAACAAGCAGTAGTCGGAAGGCCAAAACAAGTCTTCAAGTTCCAGTGTTGGAAGACCAAGCAGCAGAAACAACTTGGTGGCGATGCAAAAAAAGCGGCCTGCGCACTCTATTCTTGCAAGTTCCCTGCCAACAGTGAAGCACTGGTCGCTACGACCCCGGGGAGAAACCTTCCTCTGCTGACGGACATATCTTGCGCAGATGGGACTGGACATGGTCCCTGTAGGCTCTGAACCCCACCAAAGCCCAAGCAACCTGAGGACATGGATGGAACCCTAAACCCTAAACCCTAAACCCTAAACCCTAAACCCTAAACCCTAAACCCTTAGAAAGCCCAAGCAACCTGCAGGCCATGGATGGCAACACGCTCTTGGAGCACAAGCTGGACGTGAGCTGGGCCTTCTCGAAGCCGGGAAGCAAGAAGAAGCGCCGATAGACCGACCGCAACGGCGCAGGAGGGTTTAGGGTTTAGGGTTTGGGGTTTGGGGTTTGGAGTTTAAGGTTTAGGGATAGAGAGAGCCCTGGCGCGAAAAGGGTTTCGGATGTGGGGCTTGCTTGAATCGAGCATGCAGGGCCTTGCAAAAACAGATGGTGCTTGGATGCCGTCTGAGCAGCTCCGAACGGAGCCTTAATATGCCTTAATCTACCCCTAAACCCTAAACCCTAAACCCTAAACCCCACCCGTACTTTCCCCTGCAGAGTGTCCGAGAGGTCAGCTAAGCGGGTGGCATAACAAAAACCACCTTTTTGGGGAAAGGTGTAGAAGACCCTTCCCGAACGCTCTTGGGCTCGAGCCTCGACCCGGTCCTGTTTCCCGTTTCCTACACGCTGTCCTTCACCATGGACGTGGACTACGATGCCTCCCAGCTGCATTGCATTCTGCTGCATTATGTGAGTCCTACGCCCATCTTCAGGAACTTCAGGTATGGTAGGGTACGAGCACTTTCCAGATGCACATAAGCATGAGAACCGCAACAGCACTGCAACACCTTTTTCCCACCCTCCTCCACCGCACCTGTCAGAAAGCAGAAAAGCTGCCATCTTAAGCCAAGGACGAGGTTGCCGAGGAGGGTGCCCGCCCAGCCGGCCGAAGGATGAAGGGCCGTGGCGGTGAGGAGTCAGGGAGTTCGGGTTCGGGATTCAGCCATTCGAGGTTCGGGTGCCTGGGAACTTCGGAGAGGGACCAGGAGAGGCAAAACTGCAGCGCTTTGGCTTTAGAGCTTAGGGTTCGTTCACAGGGAGTGAATGCGTAGGAACCCTGCGCAGGAGGACGATAGGTATGCGGGCAAGGCCGGAAAGTTCGAGAGGCTCGACGACGACGATGACGAGACGGGGGCCGCGCGTTCCATCGAGGGCTGGGTTGTTATTGTGCCTTGGCGGATCCTGCAGATCCCCGTAGGCCGAGCTTGCTTCCGGCTTATGCGGAGCCCCCTTGAGCGCGTTGCAGCACACCTTGGTCACTGTTGCCACGCTATTGGTCTTCACCGAGGTGTCTGGCGTCCACGAGGAGGCACAGGAAGACGACATCTTCGAGGCCTTTTCGGAATACGGAGACATCAAGAAGCTTGGCGCGGAGTTTCTTGTGTCGGCAGCGGTGCTTTGCCAGATGTCCGGAGCAAGCTGGAGCAGAGCAATGACTGTTTACTTGTAATCGAGCTATCGCCATGAACAGCTAACACGAAGTCGCTAAGTCAAAAAGGCATATACATACGTAGATATATATATATATAGGTACATTTTTGCCACCCCCTTGATACGCCAGCCAAAAGTATTGACCACCAAATCTAACACAGACTATCTAGTTAGTTTGAGTATGAACTAGTATCAGCGCCTAGGTAGGATAAGGGGGACCCTTAAAAGGGAACCCCTTGTTAACCCTCTTCTGGCTCTCTTAAACAAGGACCTTTCTCAGATGGTCTATAAACCCAAGGGTCCCCCTAATCCTATCCCCTATATCATGAATAGAGTTCGTAAAGTTCCTCTATCAAATGAACTCGGGGATCTGCACTCTTGCAGAATGCCCCTCTTCAGGCAATGGCAATAGCATATCATAATACATTACACCACGCTATGATGTTGCATTCTATAGGCCCAATTCTCCGAAAACTACACAACTCCAAGTTGACTGCTGACAACCCGGATCTGGAGCATTGCAAGGGCAGCGGTAGTTTGCCGTAAGTTGCGAAGCACAGCTACCGGCATGGTGCGAGATATAGATATAGATGCGAGAAACAGGGGGACAGAGACGGGGAGAGAGATGTGCTGGCTCTTGCGTTGTTCAGCCGAGCCGAGGAACTTGCACCTCAACTTGGATCGCCGCACAGGTGCGATGAAGCTCATGATCTGTGTTTCAGGGCGGGGAGCTTTGAGTTGAAAGAAAGGCTTCGGGGTTCAGGGGGGCATTAGGTCAGCCTCTGGTTGCAGCACCCTGGATCCGGAATGGGCTGATGGAGCACTTCCCTAAAATCCCCGAAGCGGAAGCCGTACCAGGCTTCGTGAAGGGCTATGCTTTCATCGAGTATGAGAATAAGCAGGAAGCGGATGCGGCCATCAAGGACCGCCTTTCTGCCTTATAACTTACAACTCTTTGGGCTTCTTTGTGCTTGAGGGCACCCCAAGCGGAGATATATCGCGAGGCTCCCTTACGTTCTCTTGTCTGATACAAGGCGCATGTGTTGAAGTCTCTTGAAACAAGCAGTAGTCGGAAGGCCAAAACAAGTCTTCAAGTTCCAGTGTTGGAAGACCAAGCAGCAGAAACAACTTGGTGGCGATGCAAAAAAAGCGGCCTGCGCACTCTATTCTTGCAAGTTCCCTGCCAACAGTGAAGCACTGGTCGCTACGACCCCGGGGAGAAACCTTCCTCTGCTGACGGACATATCTTGCGCAGATGGGACTGGGCATGGTCCCTGTAGGCTCTGAACCCCACCAAAGCCCAAGCAACCTGAGGCCATGGATGGAACCCTAAACCCTAAAGCCCTAAACCCTAAGAAAGCCCAAGCAACCTGCAGGCCATGGATGGCAACACGCTCTTGGAGCACAAACTGGACGTGAGCTGGGCCTTCTCGAAGCCGGGAAGCAAGAAGAAGCGCCGATAGACCGACCGCAACGGCGCAGGAGGGTTTAGGGTTTTGATAGGTAATTCGCCATGGTCTTTGGGCTTGGAGTCAGGATTTGCGGTGTACCGAGGCCCGCGCAGGGATTGTTCCCGGGATTTGGGCTGCGGGATATCTGTCAAGAGCGGTTGATTCCACACTGCACAAAAGGTCTCTCTCAGGCACCGCAACTCCACGAATGACTGAATCGCCTCGAGGCTTCCCAAAACGCAAGCATGCGAGACACAAGCCCCTGGAGTGGCAGGAGCCCTTCCTCCCAAGCCTTTTGAGAGGGGGCCCAGGAGTGAGCCGCGCCGCTTTTCACGAGGGTTTTGATCCGAGAAAGCAGAGGGGCTCTGCGATGAGGAGGGGCTGCGAGGGAGGGGTCCTTGAAATTTGTAGGATTGCAGGGCATCTGCCTACATGAAGAAGAACATGACCCAGCATCTCCCCTCTTATGAATTGCGGAGATTTCGCGCCACGCACAGGCATCCAGCACCACATGTTTTTGCTGTTAAGCATCCTGCCGGCACGCTTTGTAGTTTAAGAATGAACCATGGTGCCGTAGAAATTGCCGGGTGCCAGTCGTAGTAGCCTGTGAACCCTCAGCTGTAGAGAAAGAACGAGTTGGACTTAACAGTTTGAGTGTCTAGCCATGCCGTTCTGTTCAGGGTTCGGGTTTCACTCTGCTCAGGGTTCGGGTTTTACGCCGCAAGGCGCACGGGGGGAGGGGGGGGGAGGGGGGGGGGGGTGGGGTGCTTACTTTTTGGTGTGGCTATGAAGTCTATAAACACCGATGGGTGCTTCACGTATCGTGCAGTTGAAGTTGCAGCCTGGATGTTCATGTGCAGCCGATTCTCTCGCATGGGAAGTTTCTGCCCGGTCCGCCAAGCAGTATTCGGCATTCTATCACGCAGAGTGAGGAAAAAGCGTCTGTGCTTGTGCTTGCAGGTATATGTCACACAAAGGTCAACACCCAACATGCATCCTGAAAGCCCAAGCCGGGGTTGATTTGGACGTCGCTGTTAGCTGCTAGCTGCTATGCGGCCCTAATCCTTCCACAGCTGTAGGAAGCATGTTTTTTGAGGGTGCCCCGTACGTAAATTCCGCGACATCCTTTTGAGAACCCCCCCTTTCCCGGGACCCATTTATTTAGTTCGACACCTCCGCAGCAAATTACCTCAACATCCTTATGAGAACACCCCCGCCAGGACGGGTTTATAATCGCAAACCCACCTCAGCATCCCAGCTTGGCTAAGAAAAGTTGGGGGGGGGGGGGGGCATGCTGGGGACCCGCGATGATGCCGGTATGGTACCCTCATTGCCCTTTCTGTGAGGCAAAGAACAGGCAGCCGCTACTACCTAAGTTACTGGGCAACCGAGAATCAACATTAACCTTCTTAACCCATCCAAAGAGCTTCATATACAGTCGTTTTGCGAGTTGTTCAGCTTTTTTTTATCATTGACCATCGAAGACCCTACAGCATAGCTTTCGCATTCGACCATTTCAGGTTTACTCAATCTCTTCCAGTTCTTGCTCGGTCATTTGCGTCATTTGCATCATTGATCGGAACCGCTTTGCCCTAAAGACAGAAGCCCTACAACATGTTGCTGTTGTGAGCAAGCCTGATTAGAACCGCAATGATCACAACTCATGAGTCGAGACACGCCCTGCGCACCAAAAGAACTCCAAGTTGACGGCCGCAACAAACTCCCCAGCGCAAGGAGGGGCCCTGGCCAGGATTTCTTGCACTGCTGAACCTTAGACTTTTCACAGCTCCTCCCAAGGCTTCGCTCCTGTGAGGACTCGCTGCAGCACGTGCGCGAGGCACCACGCCGAAGCTTGCAGAGTTCAAGAAGGTTGACTTTCTTCGGGCGCCCCCATTTATGGGAACTCCCCGATGCCCTCATGCCCTCATGCCCTAAACCTGCAGCCTATATAAACCCTCACCCCCCCCCCCCCCCCCCCCCCCCGCCTTAAGGTGCCCCCCCGAACTCTCCAGGAGCAGCGGCGACTCTTCTCGGAGGTCTGGGGGAGTTGTTTGGGGGGAATGATGTAGGGTTCAGGGTTTGAGGTTTGGGGTTTGGGGTGCGGCAGTCAAAAGACTGGTCATCCAGCTTTTGGTGAAAAAACAAAACTGCTTAAAGTACTTGATGAGGCTGCGACATTACGATCTCGATGTGGTTGGGGGGGCGTGGGGGGCGGATCCTTTAACGTCGAAACCGCAATCCCTAAAACTTGCTTTTGCAACTGAAGCCCTAAACCCTGAAACCTCCCTAAACCCTGCAACCCTGAACCCTGAAGGCCAACCACCCCCGCATCCCAAGCCCCCCCCCCCCCCTCAAGCCCACCCCCCCAAACCCCCCCCCCCCAAGACCCCCCCCCCCCCCCCATCCCCCGCTCCCCCCCCAAGAATTGTGCCAGGCCCAGGAGGCTGTGGCCAAGTTGCGGGCTGACGTTCCGCGGCTCGCCGAGGTGGCTCCTCTTCGTTCTTAGTAGTAGGTTTACGTAGGGTTTCGGGTTTTAGGGTTTATAACGTTTAGGGTTTAGAATTCTTAAAGGGTGACCCAAGAGGGGATCCTGATTTTGAGAATATTCGCGCATGGGCCTGTCTAGCGAAGCCCGACCAGATGATCCCGCGGTGCTGAAAGAAGCGGTGTTTTTGGTACTGCGGACCAAAGTCTGATGCGATGAAGGCGAGGCAAGAGTGATTGACTCAGAAGAATTCAATGATGGAAGGGGATAGCATTGGTGAGAAGTAAGGCTCCTGTATTGTTTGAGTCCTAATTAGTTCGAGGTTGAAGATTCGGAGGTTTGGCTCGTGTTTTTGTGGCCGCGCTCTTGGGTTCATAGGTTGTGGGAGACCATGCCACTTCTGAACATAAAGCGGGATGCGCCTTTCAACAAGCACAGCCTGCAAGCCCGCAAAAGGCACCGAGAAGATACGCGAACACAACAACCCTCACATCCTACTCACGATACCAGCCTGTCAACACGAAGATTCGTGCGAACCATAATGCTCAGTGCGAGGTGGCAGCGCATCGGGTCCTCGATGGGGTGCAGAGGGTGCACGCCCTGACGATCTGGTAATCTGGTGTTGATGGATGTGGGCTTGGGACTTCTTCTTTGCCCGGCTGGCTTTGTGTACCCCACGTGCACCGAGGGTGTGATGGGTTGCGGAGGGTCCTCCATCTTCCCAGCATGGAGGGGCGGGATCTTGGGAAACCCTTGCTCCCCCAATCGAAGCATCTCGAAACCCTGCATCACTTGGACCCAAATCGAGGCGGCTCCACCATCACCCCCTCCACCGAGGCGGCTCTGTTGGTAATTAGAATTGGCTTTTCCTTGGATTAGACCAGCATGTTTGGGTCGAGGTCCGAAGTTTCAGACTCATCGCCCAGCCCAGCTCCGTCCTAGATCTGGGACCCTGAAGGAAGGCTCAGGCTCTAGATTCCAACCTTTCCCTCCCGTTATTATTGAGGACTTCGGCTCATAGATCTAAAGGCTCTCAGAGCTGGGGGGGGGGGGGGGGGAGGGGGGAGGCGAAGAAAAGCTCAGGGAACCTTACCTGGAGCTCCATCTGTACATATTTGTTTATTTGTGTATTTATGTACATTTGTGTATATATATATATATATGTATCATACCATATATGTATGTATGTACGTCCGTATGTACGCAGGTATGTATGTATATATGTATGTACGTACGTATGTATGTATGTACATATGTACATATAAATATATAGACATATAAAAAATGACATAGAGAAAGGTTATTTGTATATATATATAATAACAATAATAATTATTATGATGATGATGATGATGATAATGCTAATAATAATGATGCCCTCAACAAAGGAAGAAAAAACACTGTTAGGCTTCTTGAGCTTGTAGGTATAAGCCCCTCGACTGGCCTGACCCTACGACTTTCTGCAGTCCACCACCGGCCCCAGAGCCGATGGCAGACGTGAGCGAAAACGCGCGGTCCTCGGCAGGATTGAGGTGTGGTTGATGTAGTTCTGGTTCTCATGGGGTCCGCGAGGCGTTAGTTCAGCTGACACCCTCATTCAAGGATTCCTTCACCCCGAAACGAGTTTGGCTCAAGCTGCAATAGCTAGTCGTGGTATGCTCGACCAGAACAGCCGAACATCGTCACACCCTCTAACTCAAGCCAACGGCTGCTTTAAGCCCAAAGACCCACTCACGATCTTCAAAGCTTTGGTTTTCAGTAGGATTTAAAGAATATATAGCTTAGGATGGTACATGCTCACAAGGTCACCTAGATTAGAGTCTTCTGAAGACGTAAGTAAAGGGGCATGTCCGGCTATGGCCCCGATGTCAGCGGCATCAACGGCGCCCTGGACTTTCGAGTCGCGCATGGGAAGAACTGGGCTGGTGGTGGCTGTCAGAAGCGTTCCCAGCCAGTGTTCATCCTTGTGCGGGATGCTGGCAGTGGCGACGTTGACGGGGTGTACAAGCCCGCAAGCCGCCGCTGGCTGGACCATGACGTTTATGAGAATCGCTTCGGTGAGTGCATCCTCTCTCGCGAAGCGCACACCAACCCAAAGACTGGCCAGGTGAAGCATGGCTTTGTCCTGGGCCGTGGTGGCAGGCCCCTGTATGGTGTGAAGACGGAGCTTCTGGAGGTTCCTACCACAGGTTGGAAAGCCTTTGAAGGGCAAGAGCCCATCCCGGACATTCTCAAGTTCCCATCCTGGTCAGACTGCTGTCAGCATGGCGCCTGGTTTTTCCACCAGGAGGCGGAGAATGCTGCGAAGGGTGGCCATTGGAAAGTCGTGTTGATGATGGCGGATAGGGCCTTCGACTGCCACACACAAGCTCGGCCGAAGGGCCGCGGGGACATCCGGCAGGGGGGATCTGAGTGGTCCCAGCAGCTGTGTGACCTCCTGGGCACCCGGGCAGACGCACTGCTCCACCTGGGACAGTACAAGCGTGCCTTGATCGACGCTTGCTCTGCAGTGCACTTCGTGCCAGCCTTCGAGTTCAGCAAGGCCCGCGTCCGCGGCATCACTGCATGCCTGAATCTCGGCGTGTCCGAGGCGCAGGCCAAGCTGCTGATGGACGAGATGTGCAAGCGCAGCGACCGGGAATTCCCTGGCGTTCAGGCCCTGGAACCCTTGGTGGATGTTTTCCTTTCGCGTGCCAAGGAAGAGAAACTGCAGCCAGTCGCCCTCGAGGAAGAGGAAGATGATGACGAGCGCGTCTTCTACCGTGTCGTGGATCCTGAGGATTGCAAGCTCTATTCCTCCACCAGCTACACAAGCAAGGTGATCGGCCGGCGGGAGTACAACGATGTCTTGAGAGGGCAGTCCCTGCACAAGATGGGCGAGTGGCTAGAGCTACACGTTTCGGAGGAGTTTGATGATTCATCCGGGCACAGACGTGCGTACGTCCCGCTTTTCACGGACGAGCCTAAAGAGGAGCGCGAAGAGGTCCTGGAAAAGCTTTCCTCCAAGGACTATCCGCGACACAGCCGCTGGGAGCTTTTGGGGCTGAAGATCAAGCCGATTGGTCTCAAGCCCCCGGGAGATGCCGAAGTTCCCTTGGACTACAGCAAGTGGTCCGATCCGGATCCGCCGGAGAATCTGAAAGTTTGGCCATACATCTACAAGCACGGCCTCGCAGTCGCTTGCATGGTGCGCCGCGTCTCCGAGGAGGTTTTGGACAGCTTCGTTCGCTACCACTGGGTTACGGGCTGGAACCATGTCTTCTTGTACTTCGATGAGCCGGATGACCCAAGCATCCGCCATGCCAAGTCGCTGGAAGACTATGCCCGCAGCAAGAACATGGCAGGGGCAGGCTTGACAGTGCACCGCATGGATGACGACTGGTGGGCAAAGGCGAAGGCGACAAGTCGCTTCTTCCTCCGACAGCAGAAGAACGACTTCTACGAAGGCGTGTGCAAAAGGCAGGAGCACGACCGGGAAGCACGCAAGCTGATCGTTGCTGATCAAGCTGTCCTGCAGGCCCATGACATGGGCATTGATTGGTTTGCCTTCCTGGACATTGACGAATGTGTTTACGTGCCCCGCATGCAGGAGTGCAGCTCCCGGAGGTTTTTTGGTTCCAAGGAGCGCTCCATCGAGGCCGTGAGGCTTTGGAATCTTGAGGCCGTTCCCGAAGATGTGGAGTGCCAGGATTGGTTCCGGGAGTGCACCCTTTTCCAGCTCAACCGTTACCACTGCCACGGCTTCAAAGCTCCTCGTGAATACGACCGGCTGCTTCGCCAACGTGAGGGCCGTGAGTTTGAGCCAGACAAGGGCACCGGAGAAACAGCCTGGCGGGACCAGATCATGGGGAAGGTCTACCTCCGTCGCCAGGCGGCCATGAAACGCCTGAACCTAAAGCTGCCCGGCCCTGGCACAAAGCCTTGTTTGGAGGGCCTAGGGCCGGATGCACAAAGTGGTGAGGTCGTGGAAACGTTCTGCGGCTTTGCCTCCTACGAGCTTGGCAAGATGATCGTCCGCTTGGACAGACATCTCCCACCGCCACTTCCAGCGAGCAAACACTACTACCTGGCGGACAACGGCGGCCTCCTCCAAGAGATTTACCAGGCAAACAAGGGCGATGATGCCGTGCTTCTGCATTATCCGAACGCTGGCATGAGCAACTGGCGCAGTAGATATGAAGCCCAAGGTGCTGCGCCGGTGGCTGACATCCAAGATCCACCATCCCGGACAGCCGTGGCCTCCAGGGTGGTGATACGACATGGATCCCGACGTGACCAGGATCAGTTCTATCGCACCTTCATCTTGCAAAACGAGAACAATGAGTTAGCATACCTGGCAGAATACGGCTTGGTCACGCGCGTAGAAAGCGTGCGAAACATTTTGTTCTACTACGACAACCCACAAGCACCGCCAGAGCAGCTGCCAGGGCAGATGACCTGGGTCGATCCCAAGAGCGGGCTAAAGCTGGGAAGAGCGTGATGCATGGCATTGCGTAGCTGTGTTCAATCTGGGCTGCTGAAGCCGGCTCAGTTGAGGAGAGATTTTGTCTCAACTGCGCAGACCGGAAAAAGTACATAGTTCCTCCCTGCACCTGACAGCAATCAGGTTGCCGTCCTTCTGCCTTTTGAATTCATGTGGCCCGTTTTGCCAAGTGGTGCGAGCGAGGCAGCCAGGTCTAGGTGCAAATGCACCACCAACCGAGGCCTTTGCAGTTCTCCGTGGGCCTGATGGTGACCTCTACGAGCTCCCAGGCCTATGTTGGAGGGAAGTAGGGCTATGTGCTGATTGTTCAGGGATTATGGCTTGTTTGGAGTTTGGAGTTCATGGGCTGTGCAAAACGGGCTTTACCATGTCATCTGTAGGGTCAGGGCGCATGCGCATTCAGAAGATTGGAGAGTACGCAAACCAAACCTGCTTAAGCATCCCAAGACCATCAGGAGAGTAAGTCTGAGTTGAGTCCCCTTCCTAACCCATTGCGCTTCTTTGTTTGGAGCCAAAATCCTGCAGAACCCTTTCTGATATGACTTGGGTTGCCAACACTGCGTGCAAGCGGCTTCCAACTTCCCAGTCCTTGCATCCTGCCTTCCCTATAACCTCAAAACCTCAAGGTGTGAACACCTCCATTCCGAAAAGCCCGGTCTTGTGCACAGGTCTACCCGGGACCCCTGATTCAAGCTGAACAGAACTCATCAAAGCTGAGCCCCATGAAGGGGTGGTCCGACATAAGGTCACTGTTTGGGGACCTAAAAGGAACTCTGTTACGAACGGAATTTGGTGATTCATATAGGACCCTCACCTGGCACAACCCCACATCAGCTTCCGCAAAAAAGGCCTGGACAACGTGATCGGCCGTAGTACAGCCGGGGAGCCCACTGCAGGGTTCCCGATTTTGGGTAATAGGTCCCTTGCGCTTAGACTGCCTGGAAGGATGGAAGCCCAAAACAATGTGCTTGGGTTCCGGAGCGAGTGGTTTTAGGGGAAGAAACGGAGTATCGCGCCGTTCGTTTTGATACGTCGCCGCGCATTCGAGCAAACGCCTGCGGAAAGCAGGCTTGCTTGGGTCGCCAAGCATCTTGCGACATGCCCACATGCATGTGGCCTACACAAGCCCAGGCTTCCCTTCTTGCGAGCCAGCGTGTGTGAAACACAAGGTTTTGCCAGGAGCGAAATACATTCCAAGTCCACTTCAAGAGCCAAAAGCGACGACAGTGCTGCCGTCCACGAGGAGCATGCGCACGGGACGGTCAGCAGCGCTACTTGCAAACACCGCGAGAAAAGCCTGCAGCCCGAGAAGCAGTAAAGCACAGCGCTGCTTTTTTGCCACGACATGGCGATATGGCGATATGCAAGGCTTACAAAGAATCACTGCCTGGACCACAGAATGCGCCCGGGACCTTGGCGAGTGTGCGATTTGTCACGTTGGGTGACGGACTTGACCCCGCATCCGCTTCGTTTTGTCTTGGTGAACACCAAGAAAGATAGGTTTGCTGGTTTGCTCGACATGGTCCGTTGACCCAATACGAGATATGTTGACAATAGGCCTCTGGATCCCCCGCAGGAAATTTCTACGGCACTTTTGGAGCTGTGGTCTCATGTTTTTTTGGAGCCCAGTCGAACTGGCAACAGTTGCCGATTGTGGGTTGATTGAACTTCAAAACGGCCGGAAGCTTGAACCATCGCATTGCAGTTTTGGACCGTTGCGTGTGTTCAGCAGCTCGCATTGTTTTCTGCTTTTTCTGGAGTGGGGAACGACCTTGACACGTAGACACAATGCTTTTCGTACCTGTATGCTATCTATGTATGCCTATATATTTACAAGAAAGTCATATCTACCTATGCATGATGCCCAGCAAGGTTTTCTGCCGGCTTTGTAAGGAAGACGAGGCATGTCCCCCTTCAAGGGGGCGCTTTGTGTGCAATGTGTACTCAGAGGAGCCTTGCAATGATCATCGTTAACGCAGTTCATGCAGGGCCAGTGGTGACGAAGCCGGTGGCACGTGGCTGGGATATGGACATGGAGCCCGAAGTTAGGTTGACGACTCTTTCGAAAGAAGTGCGCGAAATCTGTGCGTGTAGGTTTGTTTTGGGACGAGGGAGCTGTAGATCCGGAAGAGCGAAAGGCCGAATTCATGAGTTTTCTTGGGGTTGGCAGAGGCTGGGGGAGATAGCGCCCAAAGCAAGCTCCTGCTGCCAGGCGTTTGCACGAGTATATGGTCAGCTCGATGCCTATAATACCCTGAGGCCCTTCAACTGCCTTTAACCCTAAACCCAAAAACCCGATGCCGAGAATACCCGAAGGCCCTTAAACTGCCTAAACAACCCTAGACCCAAACCGACCCTAAAGCCCTCAACCTTGGGATATTCCCCTTTTTACTAGCAGTCCTTAGCAGGAATTTGAAAAAATATTTCTGTTAAGGACTGTTAGTATAAGGGGGAACATCCCAACCTGTGCCTGCTTGGCAGGTGGCAAAGAGGACACTAAACCCTAAAACCCCAAAACGCGAAACCCTAACTCCCTAAATCCCTAAGCCGAAAACCCTAAACCTTATAAATCCCTAAACCGAGAACCTTAAACCCTAAACCCTAACACTCTGCCAGCGAAACACTCTGCCAGACCTCATCTCCCCTCAGGCATGCGACACCTGCATCCCCGGGTCCCAGGTGCGGCCCATGAGGGTTCAGCGTCTATAGGGTTTGGGGTTTCGGGTATAGGGTTTAGGGTTTAGGGTTTGGGGTTTAGGGTTTAGGGTTTGGGGTTTAGAAGCTAGGGATTCGGGCTCAGGGGCTAACCGGAGCAGGTAGAGAAGTCAGGGTTTCCAAGGGGATTTCGGGTCTGGGGTCTTTAGGCCGCCGGATCATGTCTGACAGGTTTCCTGAGCACATGAGAGAGCGAGAGAGAGAGGGAGGGAGAGCGAGAAATAGATAGAGAGAGAGAGAGAGGGAGGGAGAGCGAGAGAGAGAGAGAGAGGGGGGGTTTAGGGTTTGGGTTTTTTGTTTGTCTGGGCAGTTTGGCGCACGGGGTTCGCTTGCAAACGGAGAAAGCAAACTCTCATTCGTGACCAAAGTAAATTTGCAGTCCGCAGCCTACAGGCCATCTCAAACAAGCACCTGGGCATCAGTCCGGCGCCCAGCTGGAGCATAACAGGCGCTGCCTCCAGATGATTTCGCATGTGCGCACGCGGAGTTGCAGCAAGCTCGGCATCGTAGGAGATCGCTGCGGTGAAGAACTTGGTGAGTTGGTGTGAGATCAGAACCAGAACATGGCATTGACCTATGTGGATTCCCACTCTCATGCATGCCGCGGCCATATAAACCTCAAGCCGCATCCCTTGCTCTCTTTGGGCTCGACTTGCGCACCTCACAGCATCTACACGGACGTCCAGAACAAGATGGAGGCCATTCAGACCCGCGAGGCCTCTCGTAGCTTGACCGGGGGCCGCGGAAATGAAGGGAAAGATGAACACCCGGATGCCTCGGACGCCCTGGCCGCGTGGCTGCAGAGGTTGCATGGAAACTCGGGAACACCCAGCTCGTAGGTTCCGAAGCCAAGTAATTACAGTATTTCACCACACTGACTCTCGACTCCTGCTCTCAACTCTCACTCTCACTCTCTCCACGACTCCCCAACTCTGTAGCTCCTCAAGGCCAGTAAGCAGATGTACGTCGCGGTGGGAGTGGCCATGGTGGGAGCCGCCATGTTCGGCTTCGACCAGGGCAACTTTGGAAACGTCCAGGCCTTCGAGAGCTTTCGCAAGGAGTGGTGCGTGGGCAGGTACGGTGACGAAGTCACTTGCAGTGAGGAAGGTTCCTTGCACAACGATGCCTGGGAATCGGAATTCGTCACTTGGGGTGCCACGCTCATCACGTTTGGTGCCGCAGCGGGCGCCATTCTGTTGGGCCCTCTCCTGTCCAACAAGATGGGCCGCCGTCCGTGCATCCAGATTGGAGGCTTCATTTGCTTCGTTGGCTGTATCATGGCATCCTACCTCTCCGTCCACAATGTCTGGGTGTTCTTCATCGGGCGCTTCATCACAGGCTTCGGTGTTGGAGTGAGCTGCTTCGCACTTCCGATGTACAACGCGGAGATCTCGACACCATCCATCCGAGGTGCAACAGGTTCGTTGTTCCAGTTGAACGTGGTGGTTGGCTGCTTCATCTCTTGCTTGATCACCTTGTTTGACAAAGATTGGTACATGGGAATGCTGCTACCTGGGTTAGCTGGTGCCGTGCTCACCGTTGGCGGCTTCTTCATTCCCGAGTCTCCGCGCTTCGTCATGGAGAAGATGTTGCACAAGGAGAACGAGGAAAAGGCCTACGCTGCTGGTACACGGTACTTGAAGCGCATCCGCAAAGGTGATGTGACAGCTGAGGCGGATGAGATCATGCATCAGATCAAGGAGGAGATGGACATCGAACACATCAGCTTTCTGGGCCTTTTCCAAGAGCGCAACCTGCGAAAGCGGGTGTTCATCGCTTGCGGGCTGGCCATTTGCCAGCAGGCCACCGGGGTCAATGCCTTCTTGGGCTACGCTGCGACTCTCTTCAAGCAGTGTGGAATTGATTCCCCGATCCTTTTCAATTCCATCTTCAACAGCATCATGATCTTTGGCTGCATTGCCGGGCTCTTGCTGGTGGACTCGAAGTATGGTGGCCGCCGCTGTCAGCTGTTGGCGGCCACTGCTATGATGGGCCCTCCACTGGTGTTGGCCGGCATCGCTCTGATGAACGATTGGTCAGGCTCGATCACGATGACCTGCGTGGTCATCTATGGGGTTGGCTTCCAGTTTGCATGGGGGACCATCCCATGGATCTACCCTGCGGAGATCTTCTCCATGGCAGAGAAGGAGTCGGCGGTCTCACTGGCTGTTGGCTTCAACTACATTGCGAATGCTGCCATCATTTACATCACGCCGGCTCTGATGAAATGGTCCACGCCCGGGACTCTTCTGGTCTTTGGCGGCCTCAACATCCTGAACGAGTTCTTCGTCTTGGCCTACATCAAGGAGACAAAGGGTGTGCCATTGGAGGAGGTGCCGGATCTCTTCCGCAGAAAAGGGACGAAGGGCCTCTCCGACGACTCGTCCAGCGAGATGTCGGAGTACAGCACGTCCGAGTTCTGAGTTCCAGGGACACCGGGATGCCAGCACCCGCAATTGGCGGCGTGCTTTGTGTGTTTGAGTACATTGTTTTGTTTTTTTTATGTTGCCCACTAGCAGCATAGCGGCATAGCGTGAACTGGTCCGGTGAGTCTGGTGGGCCGTTGACATGAAGTACGAACATAGTTAAGAACATGGTACTACAAGTGATCTGAATCTTCTGTCGTCTACAGTGTGCAGTTCCTATGTCTTCAGAGGTTCTGATACAGGTAGGCGACGGTTGTGCTCACAGGATAAGACCAGAATTGCAAAGCAAGACTTGCTATGTTCAAGCGAGCTCCGTGTTCTGACCCAGATATTTGTAGATCATCGAAGAGCTTCGGGAATCTTGGAAGGCTTTTGCCTTCCCAGCTCTGCTTGGCATCAAGTCTGCTGTGGCCAAAGCGTGAGCAGGCTCCATGGCCAACTGGCCGCCTATGATGTTACCTAGCACTTGCTATCAAATTTACTATCATTCTGATTTAATGTCGGCATTCAAAGGCTTAAAAAGCTGTTTGGCCTTGGCCCCTGCAGTGCCAGGCAGTGGCTAAATGAAAGCTCCAAATTTCTCAAGCGCTCGAGCATTCCCATACTGCACTAGGTGGAATGTCGACATACAGCTTTGGTGGACTGGGATCCTTGGTCTGTACCTCGATACCTGTCCACTGATCCTGAATTTCTTCGGATTCCCCGCACGGCAGAGTCGATTCCAGAGTCGATTCAGAAGGCTGCCAGAACCAGCACGAAATGTCTGGGACGAAGAAGGGCTACGGGAACATGCAGTTTCCAGTTGCTTTCTCCATGAAATCCGATCTCTCGCAGACCCGAGCCGCGCAATGAAGTTGCGCACCACGCAGGCGACGGAAACAAACAAGCAAAAAAGCGTGACAAGAGATCTGTGGCTGTGAGCGCAGCAGGATGAGTGCCAGTTGCAGCATCCGTTGCTGGGCGGACTGTTGGCCCTATGAGCTGTCTGGCCCAGGCTTTTCGTCTGATGGGACGGCCAGTATCAAAGACCTGGGCTCACGCCCATGTCCCCAGATTCCGGGAAACGGCAGACGGATGGAGTATCGGGATCTATAGTGGCGATGACAGTCTCCCTCTCGGACTCATGCTTCATGGTTGCTTCCGTAAATCCCAAAGAGATGTTGCAAATCGCATGTTGTCAGTAATGATGCGTGTGTCTGTGGCGAGCAGGCCGCCTAGAGGCTTTAAGGGCCTCTAGGGCTTTTTTGGCACCTTCGAAGCAGACCAACCAGGGCTCAGGGTTTAGGATTTGGCTCGTCTGAAGCCCATTTGCAACAACAGATGCCCTGTCCTGAATGCCTGGTCCTTGCCTTAAAAACCCGAACGTAATGAAATTGCAGGTCCCCTGAGAATCTCACAGTGTGTTTGCCAAATATTCTCATACCAAGCCTACTAGGCAACGGGACGTTTCTCAACGACCACCGGGTGACTGCGCACGGGCCCCGTACCGAAAGCGCAGACTGTTTGAGTTAGGGCTGCTCGAAACCCGTCCTCTGTGAACGCGTGTCTTGTTTTGTTTGGACGTGTTGGGGCTTGCGGGGTGTCATGCGGCAGTCGTCGAGTCATCGGGAACAAAACGCATGGTAGACCATGTAGCCCTGCTCATCACGAGCAACTGATCACGATGCGGTTCCTCACGACGTATGCAACCATGAAACAGTGTGCCGATGCAGGACAGCGCTGGTGATGAAGAGCGGTGACAAGGTCCAGCTAGGTGCGGCCTCCACCATGACCATGGGAAAGTCGGGTTTCGGGTACAGTCGGATGCGCACATGGATCGGACTATTGCCGGACCTGGAGGCAGGTTTGGCCTCGTGCGTAGTGGGGCATAACAGTTCTCTCCCAGCCGTCTGCGAGCTTGATGGGCTGAGACAGGCTGTGGGTTAGGCACCAGGACCCTGAACATAACACCCGACATGTGCTTGGAGCCTGAAAAGCCAGGCGTGGATGGCCCGAGCTTCGTATTTACCTGGGGTTGGTGCCTCAGACCCGCAGACACCTCGTTTTGACTCTCGACCCCGAACCCTCCCGAAAAGCTAGGAATGTTTTTGGGGCGTTTCGCTTCAGAAGAACTTGCTGTTGGAGATGGATGGCATGTTTCTAAAGCCAAGTCATGTTCCATGAAATTGGCTGCTTTGCCGGTGCCACGGCGAAGTTCGCGGCTCTCTGGAGGTTCCTCGCTTGGAGATAACCACATCCTGCTCATCCTGGGCTCCCCCATGCTAAGCCCTTTCAAAACCTAAGCTTCCGGTGAATTTCTTGCCATTGCCAGCAGCTCACTTGCTTGATAGGTCCTGCGTACTACGCGCGCTGGCCCCGTGAGCTGCAACGGGCCAGTGGCGGTGCGAGAGGCTTCCGCTCAGGTTTTAGCCTTGTTAGAGGACTCGGGGCATGGAGTGCGCAGCTTCTTGGACTTTGTAAGTGGCTACACTTCCCTGCTTGAAGCATGAGATCGTAGCTTTCTGGGCACAATGCAGTCACGTAGTCGCCCTAGCCATGTGCGGCTCCATGAATGGTAACTTCGAAGGGCCCGTTATTTCAACTTGCTCCTGTAACTTGTAGGTGGATTCAGGTTGAAGGTTTAGGACTTGTCAGGGTTTGGGGGGTCGAAGCACGTGAGAGTCCGGGTAGAAAAAGGGTGTGTCGAAGCACTGCAAAGGTGGTCCCGTTGCCAGGTTCAAGGCGCAGATACACGAGCCTTTTTCAGCCCTCACCCACGAATCACCAGGCGAGAATCAGCAAACTCAAGAGCTCTCATGACATGACTCCGTACTCTAAACTCTATAAACCCTGTAACCCTGTAAATTTCACGCTATTACCCTGAATTTTGTGAGCCGACACCCTTATAAGCCCTTAAAGCGGCTCCTGAGCCTACCTAGACCTACCGAAGCCATGCTCCCCGCGCACGAGAGCCCAAAACCCTCCAATCGCAGCCTTGAACCTTCGTAGAAGCCACCCGGTCGTCGCCATGATGGGCGCGGACCTCATGGAGACCACCAGCCTCCAGGAGGCGTTGGAAAAGCTGCAATCCGACACACTGTCAGCCTCTTGGCTCAGGCGAACCTCGCTCAGAAGCCCTCTTATTGGGTTTAAGTGGACAGTATCCCGGATCATTTTTTGGAGGTTTGCATTCAACTGCCTTAACCTTATACTCATCTTATACTCCCTGTAAACCCTAAACCCTTATAATCCCTAAACTAAACTGCCTTATACCAAGCCTAAACCCTAAACTTTAAGGTGAGCAGCGCCGGCCTGGACGCGCTGCGGGAGTGGCTGCAGGACGGCAGCAACTTGGATCGCGCCGATGCGGAGCCCGAGGCATCTGGGTGTGTAGGGTTGAGGATGGCTCCGGGGATAGGGTGGTGGAGCTGGCATGAGCTAGCCCTAAACCCTAAACCCATGGCGAGACGGGTGGCAAAAAAAACCCTACACTGTATCGGGCGGATGTTCACTATGTTAAGGTTTGGAGCACACGGCTTCTCTCAGGGCTGCTGGCGGCTCTAGAGAGCCTTAGTCTTAGGGTTTGGGTGGTTGTTGGCTTCGGTTTCTCAAAAGAGTCCAGGAGGGAGAGGGTTTGGGGCACAGACGTTGCAAGCAGGGTTTAGGGTGTAGGCTTTTGAGGTGATTGGAGAGAGTTCCGGTCCTAAAAAGCTTTTGAGGTGCGGAGTAGCTGAGATTCCGAACTTTCAGCTTGGGCGTTGATGCCATCGAATATGCACCTGAATATGGGATATGGTCTGTGCTGTGCTGTTTCTTGTGTTCTTTGCTCATAGCTGGAGGGGGGTGGGGTGCGGAAGGCTGAAGGGTGACAAGAAACTCACTAAGCCACCTGCATGTACGACGATGCTGCCTAGACAGCATGAAGGCAACCGTGCCCTCACAGGCGTGGCCGACCATTCTCCGCGTCTTGGTCAAGTACCTGAGCCGCCAGATGCAAAATCTGGCCAAAGCAGGAAGCCTGGCAGAACTGGGATTCATCAAGGGATTCAGACTCGTACCATTAAGGGGTACGAGTCTCCCCTTAATGAATATACTCAGAACATGGCCGTGATGCTACCTCGTAAGGGTCCAAGGTACAACCCCACGAATTCAGGGTGGCGAGATTTGCCGAATTATGTTCGTATACAAGTCCACTGAGTCCCTCCTTTGCAGCCTTAGATAGCGCTTCTTCCGAGGTGGGCGCAAGACTTCCTTCCGCGCAGAGGCGCCTCCTACGCTGGTTCAAGCCATCCGAGCAGCGGGTCGCAAGGCCTTGGCTTTAGATGCCGTGTTTAGGGTTTAGGATCTGGGGTTTAGGGTTTAGGGTCTGAGAACTCTGTGCTTGACTCCCCTTGTCCATGCTGCAGTTTGAGGACCGGTTCTGCTGGACCAGTAAGGAATAGGGGAGCCTTGGCTGCTTCGGGTCATGTGGGCGCAGAATCCCTAAGCACATTGAAGTAGGCCAAAACCCTGAACCCAAACCTTTGGGAGTCAGGGGCTGAAAGGGTGCTGCACAGGAGCGACCCTCAAGTTCCCTGCTTCCGAACCCTCCGAACAGGGGCGGCGAAGTGCGCAGCCCAACTTTGCCAAAGTTCACCCGCGACTTGGGGCAGTTTTAAGGGTAGGGCCCAGTTTTTTTCAAGCCCGTTGCAACATGTTCGGGTTCTTGAGGTTGTGGGCTTAGGCTTCAGGATGCAGCTTGATGAAAGCTGCATCTTTTGGGGGGCGCGGCCTCGGAGAGAGCTATGCGCAGCGATTCAGCACCCAAAGTCTTCAAAGCTTGCACAGCTGCTTGCACAGCTGCTTGTTCCGGCTTGGAAATATAAAAGTCTTAAGTCTTGGCCACAGTCGTTGCGCGTCCTGCCATCCGTGCACAACTCACGCCCGATATTTTGCACAGCTTTAGGCCAGCTAATCAGGTTTAGGGTTTAAGGTTCCCCGAGCCGGCAACCCTAAACCCTAAAACCCTTGCGCCCTGGAACATGACATTGTCCGCTGCCGAGGAAGCTTTGGGCACACATCGAGGACGTGTTGCGCCAGGGCCTTGGGTTTCCAACTGTAGGCCAACTTTAGGGCTAGGCGTGCGGGGGGGGGGGGAGGGTTGGGGTTTAGTTTAGGGTCCGGGGAGTTTATAGGGCTTAGGGTTTAGGCTGTTTGCGTGTTCGAGTAGCTTATACGGTCTGACCTCAGTGCGAGGCATTCAGCTGCCCCCTCATGCGGCCTCCATGCAGTTCTACTACTGCTGCTCAGCTGCGACATGTGATGCGTTCTCCTGCCTCTGGACCTTGCAGGTGGGTTTTGAAAGTAGTTATGTTGCTTCCTGCAGTCATTGATATCTGATATCTGCACTCCAGCGCAAGATCCAACAAAGCCGCGCAGCCTCAAGCAAAAGCGGGCCCACTCTAGGGGATGTGGATGTTGGGACGCTCCAAGATTGTGGGAGGAAGCCCCTAACCCAAGCCCCGCAGCCCGAAGCTTTATCCCTCCGAACCACCCCCCTAAAACCCCAAACCCCCCATGCCCCTTGCTCAGGCAAGGCGGCCCAGGAGCTCTGCGACTGCGCCGAGCTCGGCTCGCTCCGGGAGCTCCCCGGACCGCAACTCCAGCAACACCCCTCATTAAGTTGTGTTTTTGCTGGCGGGGTTCAGGCTCTCGGTAGATACTCCATTTCGCAAGTTCCTGCATCCTTTCCCCGCTTTTTTCGGGCTCGGGGAAAGAGCCTCCGGCTCAGGCCTAGGGGGTCCCTCAGTGTGGAGGGTTGTTGCGGGTCCCTGCATAAAGCGGCCATTTGCAGCCCTCTCAAAGTTGACGGGGCCACTACAGGGTCACGAGCTCAAGGAACATGGGGCCTTGGTGAGCACTTCAACTCAGGGCGAAAGTTGCGCCCCACCTTTTCACCTTGTTTGGCGGGGGTGAGGTGAGGGAAGGTTCCCTCCTGAGAAGCCCCCTCAGTACACACCTTGCACCTTTCAAGTTTAAGACCAAGGCTACGAGGCCAGTCTCTGCGAAAGCTCGTCCGGGCATTGCTCGAAGTGGAGGGCAACCAGGCCCAGGCCACCGCACTCGAGGCTGTGGCGCGTTTGTGCCGCCTTGCCGAAGCTTGACTCCAGAGGCTTAGGGTTTTGGGCTGAGGGCTGGGTAGTGGTGAAGAAGCCCGAAGCCCGAAACTCAAGCCCAAATTTTCTTGGGTGCGCCTTGGCTGACACTGCTCAGGGCTTAATGGCGTAGGGGTTTCGGAATTGTGTTTTCGCCTCTCTTCGATGCCTTGCTTCACTGAGCCCAGGAGGGCGACCCCGGTGCCGACGTGGGCTATATCTGTGAGAAGGCCTTGCTACGGGCTGTGCGTCAAGGGCTTTGAATGCAACGCTTTCTGCTTTAGCAGGGGGACTGGACAAACCCTCAGAGTTGCAAACCGATTGATACTTTCGAGGAAAGGAGGGGCGGGGTCATTGAGATCCAGATCGCGATCTGTATGAGCGCCTGTTTACACCTGCCAACTTTCCTGTCGGGGGCGTACGGGGACGGAATTGTACGAACATGTTGCTCAAATTTCGAGAAAAACTTGATGTTTCACCTTACCGAAAACTATAGACTATTGGGTACATGTACGTATAGGGTACATGGGGTACATATAGGGATTTTAGGGTACGTAGCATGGGTGTATAGGGTAGGTTACATAGCATGTATAAGATATAGATGTGTGTGAAGGTCCGATTTAGGGGAAGAAGAAGGTAAGGAAGGCGAAGAGGGGGTGGGATGGGATCTTCAGGAACAACACATACATAGTGTAAATTGTGTTTGTAAGTCCACAAAGAAGAAGAAGAGGGTGGGTCGCCTAGAACCCAGGCTAGCTTTCGTCATCCTCGGCTTTGCCTCTCAAGTGTATACTTATATATCACCGCAGCGGTGGCTGCAGGTTCTGCAGGGATTGTAGGGCTTGGGATGCCCTGGCCAGGCAGTGGGCTTCCTCCGAACCTGCGGGCAGCCTGCTGCATCTTGCCTGGCCGCGATGGCGCTGCGCTGCCCCTTTGCCTTCCGAGACTGGCTGAGCACAAAGAAGGAGGCCTTGCTTGGGGCCATTGGCGATCGGTTTAAAATCGACAGCCTCGTGCCTCGGCATCAGTTAGCTGCTTTTGGGACGTGATCGGTTCCTACCATCAGTAGAAGGCCTAAGGTATCTTGATTTTTGCATTGGGCCCCTTGGAGTCATGAGCCCACACCCCAAAAGCAATTGAGAGGTTCAGGCCTTAGGAGGGCCCCGAATTACACCCCCTACTGGCCCTAATGTCAGGAACTGGTGCTTCGCTTGGCTTTGAACCTCGGCATCGAGGTTACTGTCCGCGAGGCGCAGATGCTCTTGCCTCTGGCAGCA